ACACAGAGAGAGAGAGAGAGAGAGAGAGAGAGAGAGAGAGAGAGAGAGAGAGAGTAACACTGTTAGAGCACATGTGGTGAGGCATCAGCACAACCACAATCATCTTCCCTTGTTTCACGAAGCACCAGCTCTACCTCACAGTGCACGGTTAGGAAAAGAGGCCTTCCCAGAGCGAGGCAGATGCGAGGACTGTGAGATGCTCGTAGGCAGCTAAGAAGGACATTAAAGGAGAGACTAACAGGTAGTGTCTGTGAAAGGTTTTGTATCCTAGAAAACAATAGTCAAGAATTTGCCCTTTGTTTTTCCCAGAATTGATAAGAGAATACAGATGCATACAGGCATTGCAGCCCTCTGGAGGGCAGCAGGCATTGAGGCCAAGACTGAAGTGTCCATGCAGTGATAGACGGAGAGGAGAAAAATGTAGGGATGACAGGTTCTGTCTACTGCCACTAAACTGAGACAACAATTCTAAATTCTAAATTTGTTTCTGTCTATCTGTTACTGTTTCTCTACTGGATTTTAAATGATTAGAAATTATTTTGAAAGACACTAAGAGGAAGAGCCTGTCAAACGCTTTGACCTCATTAGAGGAGCACCGGCAGGATCATGTGTCACTCTCTGCATACACTTGGGGAGACTGAGTAGGAAGAAAGGAAGTGACAGCTGGCCATGGCTTGTTCCAACATTATAGCCATAGTGCATCAATGTCCAGTGAAATTCAAGCAACTTCAGTGCGTTTCTGAACTTCATTACATTTGTTACTCTTTCATATTTTCACCATGAAGTACTCCCCTGGTTTCTCTCAGCCCTCCCATCTCCTAGGTATTGCCATAAGATTGGGAAGTACAAAAAAACAGGGACCTGCATGAAGAACCATGAGAAAGGTAGGAGAGCACGAACTACACTGGCAACTGCAGGTGGATTCTGTCCCGGGACTCCAGAGGGAAGCTCAGGTCCTGCAAGCATCTGGAACAGCCAGTCCTGTCGGCGACCAGGGTCCCTAGCCCTGACCTGAATTCTGGAAATGAGCCAGCCCTGCAGCTGTGGCTAGTCCTGCTGAGTCCCTCCTGATTTGCATACTGAGAGCGCAGCCCACTGCCCCTCTTCATGAGCTCAGCACACCCCGTGCAGGTGTCATTCACAGTGAGGACACAGCATGGCCGTGAGGGTCCCTGCTCAGCTCCTGGGCCTCCTGCTGCTCTGGCTCCCAGGTATTGAGGGTCACACTGGGAAGGACACACCCTAGTGGGGTCAGTGCTGCAGCCCCTTAAAAGAAGGTTTCTTACACCATGATTGATGGTGTGCATTTTTCTTTTTATCTTTCCTATCTCAGGTGTCAGAAGTGACATCCAGATGACGCAGTCTCCAGCCTCCCTGTCTGCATCTCCAGGGGACACGGTCACCATGAGGTGCCGGGCCAGTCAGAACATTATCAGTGAGTTAGACTGGTATCAGCAGAAACCAGGGCAAGCACCTAGACTCCTGATCTACCATGTATCCAACTTGCACTCTGGGGTCCCACCGAGGTTCAGCGGCAGTGGGTCGGGGACAGACTTCACTCTCACCATCAGCAGCCTGCAGCCCGAAGACTTTGCAACTTATTACTGCCGACAAGATTACAGCTACCCTTTCCCACAGTGACACAAGCCGTGACACAAACCACCCAAGGAAGCAGAAGTGTGAGGCTGGGAGGTCCCAGCTGCTGCCCTTTATATTTCACTTCTCTGCATTTTTAGAAGTATCCAGACTTTGAAGTCACTGTGAGATTATTTAGAAGGGAGAGGGAATCCATCCTACACCATAATTTCTTTTTTTACTTTCTCATCCTTCTCAGCACAAGCACAGCAAATGTTTCTTGTTAGAAATGAGCATGTGACCTCCGAGGGTTCAGGTTTCTGTCTTCATTTGTCACTCACAGAGTAAAAGAGAAAATATTCCAGTTTGTCAGGTGGGGACATTTTAATACATAGTACTATAGAATACAGGACAGCTTTTCCTGTCCTGAGGATGTCAGAGAAGCAGGTACCAGACCTGGTTGATCTCTGGTGATCCCACAATGCTACAGCCCCAAGGAATGGGCTCGTCCACGTACCAGCCTCTGCCCTGCAAGAATGTCACTGGAAAAATCCTTTTGTCACTTGCAATAGGGTCTTTTTTTTTTGGTACCAGGGATTGAACTCAGAACCTTGTATTTGACAGGAAAACACTTATTCTACTGAGCTAACTCCCTGGCCCACCTTTTGTCACTTGCCAGAAGCCCCTGCCACCTGAGACATCAGCCCCAGCTGCTCTTCCTGTCCACCTACTGACTGTCAAGAGCACTAGGCTTTCTTCAGTCTTTCAGACTCATTGGTCCATCTCCACATATTGAGCTCTGCACTGGAGCACAGCAGGAAAGTGGCTCTGAAGAGCATTTCTAGGGGTGATGGTGATGAGGGTGAGGTGACGGTGGACAGCCCAGGGGTCATTGTCTCCTCAAATCAGACTAGTTTTAGTTTGGACCTGGCCCCAAACCTTGGTCAAAGACATCACGTGCAACCTGTGAACACCAGAGTATATCGAGAAACATACATAACTCATAGCAGAATTGGAGGATGTGTATTTACCAGAAGAATAAAACATTTTTCCAGCATGTTTCATATCATCATATTGTTTAGAAAATGTAATACCTGAAAGACATAAAACAAAAACAAAAGAAGAAAAAAAATATTTTTATTTAAAGCAAGTCTTTCCCAAATATGTAAGTATTTCTGCCATTGAAAATGTGTCCCCCTGCCATGGGCATCCTCAGGTCACTGAGAGCTGGTCGTGGGTGCAGAGTCACACCTCCCCCACCCCAGCTGCTGAGCGGTGGTGGAGATGTGGCACAGTGCGCTGGGTTAGGTAATGATCACCGTGGAAGACCCACCTGAGCTGAATTAGTGTGGCGCAGGGTACAGAAGCTCTACTTAGGATTGCTACCAATACCCTAGATGGGGAACTGAGGAGAGGATGGTGTGCTCGATTCTCCTGGCTGGCTTCCCTGATAAGATATTGGCTGTTCTCATCGCAGGCCTCAGGAGCTCGCTGTTCCTCAGGAGAGCTGAAGATCTTTTTGTGGGAGCTCTGGTCGTTACTTTGAGTGTTGCTTCACAGCTCCAGGGCAGATCCGTGGGCCTGCTGACACAGACACTTTATGCTGCTGGTGCAGACAGTTTGGTTGCACAACTAGTCATCTGACTGCAGGAGAAAACCAGCTTCTCCACTCTGAGGCTCTTACACTTTGTCCTGAATCAGTGAGCATGTTATACTGAGAAAAGTTAATTATGTTGGACATCGTTTAACATGGGGAAGGATGCAATTATTTTCTTGTATGTGCATTTTCCTCCATGTAAGTAGTATTTCCAAATAAAAACTATCCTTGGAAACCACACAACACTTTCCTCAAAGTTAGGCTATTCCACAATGACACGGCATTTGAACAAGGAACTTACTGAAGCAAAAATGAGAGACACAGTGCCCACAGTCATGATCTCATGTCACTGATGAGGCTGAGCTTACAGGAGGGAAGGGCCTGGCTAACCAAATGAGCTTGCCTCAAGTCTTGTCAAATCACTGTCCTGCCAGACTCGGGGAGGTTCTGAAGCTGCGACTGTGTCTGATGCTCCTTCTCTCGTAGAATTCTTTTGTCTAGCAAATACGGGCTATGAGTTGCTCACACGGAATGCACCTGTGCAGATAGCTAAGACTTCCTGTTTCCTAGTCATTGAAATCTGGATTTTTCTGGTGGGCAATTCTTCCAAATGCTGTAGAAACCTTTGAACATATTTTAAGAAATTAAGAAAACATGTACCAACATAATTCTGATTATAATTAAGCATAATTTTGTATCATAATTTGCTCTGTCCATAACTTGAGGTCCTAAATCTCAATAAACATGGTATATAGAGTTATTGTACTTTATTAGCAAGATATAAGCAGTAATTGGAATCCAATGAGCTCTCTTGAGTGTTTCTTCCTTTTTTTTTTTTTTTTTTTTTTTTTTTTT